TCCTAAACTCCCAGTTTGATCTGTTTGAGGTTATGGCCTTGCTTAGACCCCCTAAGAGAGAGCCGCCCATGCGGGAGCCACTCAGCCTCTGAGACCCCGAGTTCCTGGGTCCAGACATTTGTGAGGAAATACTTCTTTCAGCCTCTTTGCTCTAAAGAGGCTGGTGCAATATCTCAGGTTTATCAGTGAAGCTGTGATCCCTTTATACCCAGCTGTATCCAACCCATATACCTTTCTGTCTCAAATACTGAAGAGGCACAATGGTTTACAGTCTGGGACCTTAAGGATGCTTTTTTCTGTGTTCCATTATGTCCTGACTCCCAGTTTCTGTTTACCTTTGAAGACCCTTCAGACCACACTTCTCAGCTCACTGGACAGTGTTACCCCAGGGCTTTTGTGATAGCCCTCTCCTATTTGGCCAGGCTTTATAGTTCAGGACCTTAGTCATTGGTCTTTGAATCCTTTACCAGATTGGTTACTGTTTTAAAACCCTGAGTCACTGAGCCTCTGCCTTTAGGAGCCAGAGGCTGGAAAATTCCTGTACTGGGAACAAAGCGCCTATACTGCCAGAGGTGGGAAAATACCTGCACCGGGAACAAAGCCCCTTGCTGACCCTAGAAGTTCCTCTAACACAGTCCCTCAGTCCCCACTCTGAAAAGGAAAGCCCAACTGCTGTTGGGACATGGGCGACGACTGCTCTACTTCCTGCTGAACTAGAGTGGACTTACATATACATTAAATCTCTTAGAATGAAACCTGGATGCCCATATTTTAAGAGAACTCTGTTTAAAAAATGCATCCTGTTTGTAGACTTGAATAAAACAAAGAGGAACACTCTTGTTTTTTTACCTTAAGCTTTGAAATGAACATACTTTTTAAAAAAACCTTCAAAGTCAAAATAGTAAATGAAAGGTTTAATAAAAAGAGAAAATGAAAACTGTAGTTTAATAAAGTCTTCGTATCTCTTCATAGTTAAAAAATGTTATAGAGGAAATAATTTTGAAATATTCTTGAAATAGATTATCTTTATTTAAGGGATAATGCAGATACTCTCAAGCCAAAATAAAAACAAATAACTTTATTTCACATTTATAATATTCCTTTTCTAAAATGATTTGAATCTTTTGTTGTTTTGACAATTCCAAAACACATTTATTGTTTGCTTACAGTTTCAGCCTTATTCAAAATGAATGTGACTGACTCATGATATAGAGAAACTTGTTACAAAAATAACATTAAAATCCACATTTACTACTTGAGAATCAAAAATATTGAAGTGCAATAAAGAAAAAATATTTTAAATTATCCAAATTTAAAACGTATGTTGGGTTTCTTCAGGGGCAGTTTATTATATGCTATTAATGAGCCTTGCTTATTCTGGAAATGTTCCATCTTTGGCCTTGTGCCTTAGAAACCATTCATGAGCACATATTTATACTGGAGCACACATGTTCTTTTGTAGTATGGCTTGCACATCTGCCAGCTTTCAACAAAATTGTAGGCCCTGTTAATAATAGTCCTTTTGTGTTTGGTGAAAAAGATACGACACTGTCAGTGGTTTTGCTTTTAAAATTTCCTTTAAACTTTCAGTCTTTAGAAAACCTCAATAGTGGCACAGTAGAACCAACTCATTCTAAATGCTTAGAAATGGAAAGAAATCTGAGTCTTCCTACTAAAGAAGATGATGATGAAAATGAAGCTAATGAAGAGGAAGAAGATGATGATAAGGGTAAGTGCTGAAGCATGTTTGAAATGACTCACCCCTGATACCTACCACAGACTTTAACTTAGGGTCCAGTTTTGGATGGTTTGGAGGTCAGAGACTTTGTGGCATAGAGTTATTGATTGGATCCTGATGAGCTTTTGTCTCCTTAGTGCTTTTGTCTCTATAAGGTAAAATCTTACTGCTTACAGAAATAGAGTAATAGTAGCATTATGATGACAAAAATATCTTTCCTTTTGTTTTCTTGTTAAATAAAGATGTGATTTCTCCAAATCAGTATAGTTTTCATTTAGAATTATTAAAGCTGAGAACTCTAGTGATGAACTTTCATTTGTTTAGTGGCAAATTACCTTGATTCTTTTTTTGCCCTTTCTTGGCTACTCATGAATCTTTCAAGCTCACAGTGGACAGGGAAGGTGAGTTGGGTAGAGCTAACCTAACATCATTATGCTGTGCAGTTAGAATTTTGACCAAAGATGTAGGTAACTAAGTTTTCCTAACTGCATTAGATTTAGGTAACTAAACTAAATGAGATTTTGGTAACTTAATTTAGGTGTAACTACATTTAGCTTTGGATAACTAAAATGAAGATTTTATTTTATCTGTAGACTTTTTTAGTCTAACATTTCTGATTACCATTAATTGAAGGTTGGTTATATTTTAATGTTTGGATTGGCATATTGCTTGCCATGGTTTGTTCAAATATTAGATTTTAGAAGTATACCTGATTCTAAAACATCAGTTTTTTAAAATAGTGCTGGCAAAGTGTGAATCACAACAAAATTCTAACACTTAAAGTAATCCAAGTGTTTTCTTGGCGTCATATATGGTATCCAGAGGACCGATTTGTATTGGAATTAAAAAATAGAAAACAGTAACACATGGTAGCTATCACTGTATTCTTTCAAAAAAGCCAATGAAATAAACCGTTTTCTCCCTCTTCATGGTGTTTTTCTATTTGAACATAAATGCCCATTTTATTTTATTTCAAGACTCTTTGTTGCCAGCACCCAACGCAGAGCAAATTACTTGCCTCAAGACATATTTTGGCCATTCCAGTTTTAAACCGTGAGTATAATCTCAGTTAATCAAATCACATATTTAGTATTTTCTTTAAAACAAGGAAAAAGGCAAATAGTCCATTGACTTAGCAGCAACAGCACAACTTCACTATGGTTACACATGCCACACTGTATTTTCTATGTGACTACGACATTATTTCAAAGTAATATTTATATAAAATTCATTTCTGCACATTGCTTTTATAAGTGAGGAAAAATAATTTTCCTTTAACTGAGCAGTTCTGAGTAGACACTAGTTTAAGGTACTTACAAGTAAATGTCAATTTAATACTGACTTGTTTTTCATTAAATGAGTGTCTATGTGCCTGTTTTGTGTATCATATTACCCAGAACATGCTGATGCAGTAGAAGTTCTTAATACAACAATTTGAGGAATAGTGGTAATCTTATCTATTTTAATGTACTCAAAATTTGTTTACATCTAATGGGCACATTTTTATAAGGATAAAATGAGATGAATGAGATGAATAAGTAAATTTGAATAAAACTAATAAGCATGTGAAAATCTTGACTGGATTTTTCCTATTCTGAGAATTTAAAGCATAATCTACTGAAGTATTTCTTTCTTTTTTCTTTTGATCTTAAACATTTTTTATTTATGTCTTACATACAGAAAAGTGTGCATGATGTACAGATCAATGAATTTTCATAAACTGTGCATCCTATACTGAGCCCTTAGTTAAGAATAGGTCATTAATGGCATGCCAGAAGACGACCTCTTCAACTGATTTTTACCCTTAGTATTTTATTAGGAAAATTTCCCAAGATCTAGTAAAGCTGAAAGAACTTCTTTTCTGTGCATATCTGTATACTCACCACCTACATTCTAGTATTATTACTATACTTGCTTTATCACCTACCCATCCATTCATATCTCTCTATCCATCCATTAATTCATTGACGTTTTAAAATGCATCTCAGGGTCAGTTTAGGACACCATTACACTTCCACCTAAGTATTTCAGCATATAAATTATTAACTAGAGTTAAATATTTAATTTTTTTGTTTTAATATAAATTTGCATATAAGGAAATATGAAACTTTAAGCATATATTTGCAAATTTTATGGGTACATGTACATATCTGTGTAACCTAAATTCTTATCAAGAGATATTATTATCATCACCTCACAGAGTTCCTTCCCTTATTTACTTTTCAGTCAGTCCTTGTCCCTGGAGCATTTCTCTTACTAGTTTAAAGCATTGATTCTTTTGGATATCCAGTATGAGACTTAGAATCTGTTTTTTACTTTAGATGTATGTAATGAAATTTAATACATATACCAAATGGTTGTTGTTAGTTAGCTTGAATGGGAGGTTGGTCAAATGGAGTTCTTTGCTTTAAAGTTCTAGGGTTTGTGCAGATTTATGTATGAAGTTCAAAAATAAATTCTATTAAAGGAAATGAAAAACTGGATGGATTTTAATCTTTACCTTGGGTTTCTTATTAATAAAACAAAACAGGTTTTTGCTTTTTACCTTCAAGGGTTCAGTGGAAAGTGATTCATTCAGTATTGGAAGAAAGAAGAGATAATGTTGCTGTCATGGCAACTGGTAAGTTGTATTTAAGCAAATAACCTAATCCTTTAAAAAATAAAACATAAAGAGTTTGAAATGCTCAATCTTTTGTTAAACCCTCAAAATACAGATGCCACTACAAATGGTGTAAAATATAGAACACAGTGAACAGAGAACAGATGCTCAGCTTTATGTATCAATTACCTCTTAGGAAGATAGCATACTAGTATTGACCATTCATCTGTAATAAGTACATTGTAAAAGGAAATTAAAACATCAAAAATTTATTTTTATTTCTATGAGCATATTATTTTCTTTTCAAGGATATGGAAAGAGTTTGTGCTTCCAGTATCCACCTCTTTACCTAGGCAAGATTGGCCTTGTCATCTCGCCTCTTATTTCTCTGATGGAAGACCAAGTGCTGCAGCTTAGGTAAGTCATGTTATCATTGCCACAACATCACCTTGTTTTTTTCTTCTGTGGATGAAACATCTGTTCTATCACACATGTTAAAATCTAGTTCACAATAAAACATTTCTGCAGGTATTGCTTTATCTTTATTAGCAGTAAATGACACGTTAGTGGAAGAGCTTATCTTCTTTCTTGAGTTCTCTGTAATTCAAAGCTTCCAGGTGGCCCTGATAAAATTTTTTTAAAAAAAATCATTACTTTATGGTGGTTTACATTGAATATCTCAAAATTGTTTTCTCTTTCTGTTACCCTTGCTTTTTAGCTTGATAAGAAGTGTATATATGGAAGTATATTTTTTTAATCTATGAAAAACTTTTCAGCTTCTTCAACCTGAGCTTGCTATCTGTTTTTAAATTAATACATAATATCCATACATATTTCTGGAGTACTGTGATATTTTGATCATAATATATAATGATCATAATATGTAATGATCAAATCAGGGCATTTGTTCATCACTTTGAACATTTATCATTTCTTTGTGCTGGGAACATTTCAAATATTTTCTTTGGGTTATTTTGAAATATACAATATTATTGTTGTTAACTGTAGTTACCCTGCTGTTGGTTAATGAGTACAAACATACAGTTAGATAGAAGGAATAGGGTCTAGTAGCCTATTCCTTTACCTCCCATCATCCTCTGCTTCCTCGAGCTTACAGTCTCTTTCAAAACCCACCTTAAAAACTTGCCTTCTGATAAGGGCCTTGAAGGAATTTGCTTATCAAGTTAGTAAGTGACAAAAAAAGAGAAAATTGCAAAGAACAGGAATATACATTATTATATTTCTTTATTCTTTCTCACTTAAGAATCAAACTGATATGTGTAGCGTGTACACAGCGCCAAAATGTTTGTCTTTCTTCTTACAGAATGTCCAACATCCCAGCTTGCTTCCTTGGATCAGCACAGTCAGAAGATGTTCTAGGAGATGTTAAATTGTGAGTAATTTTTTTTTCCCTCAACTTTTATTTTGGATTCATGGAGTACATGCGCAAGCTTGTTACATGGGTGAATTACATGTTGCTGAGGAAGTTGTGAGTAATTTATATGATTTCTAATCATTTGGTCAGATGTCTGTAGTATATGAGAGAATTTTGTAAACAAACAAATTTTATTAAATGCATAGAAAAAAAAGTCCATGATTTTAAAATACATTTTACTTTTTATAGTACCATTGCAGGACTGTTACTTTTTAAATCCTTCAAACTTAAATATTTTACTCTCAGTTATTGTGCTGTAAAATTAGCATTGTAGTCATAGAATTTTAAAAATTTTGGTTTTGGAAGAGAGGTTGGAGATTATCTAGATTTGTCTCATTTTATAGATGAGAAAACTGAGGCTCAGAGACAAGTAATTTTCCCAAAGTCACTCAGTGACTGTGGCTGAGCAGGGGCTGGATTCTAGGTCTCTTGCCCAACCAATTCAGTCATGATGTAATTCCTCAGGAGAATATCATCTCAGACACACATACACACACCCATTTTGTGTGCATATGTATGTATATGTAAACACACAAACGTATATACACATATACATATATACACACACGTATTAATATATATGCATATATATGGATGTTCTAGTTCAGAACATTTTCATCACTCCCAAAAGAACACCCATGCCCATTAAGCAGGTGCTTTCTTTGTGTATATATTAGTATATACATACACCCGAGGCACACTTGTATTCACTGAGTTTTGATAAATACATACAAAGATGTAAACCAAACCTCTAATAATATACAGAATATTACTGACCTTCTAGAAAGCTTCTTCATGTGCCTCCCCAGTCTGTCCTTCCATCTGCATCCTAGGCAAGCCAGTGCTCTATTTTTCTCTACCATAGTTCAGTATTGTTTGTGCTAGAATGTCATGTAAATGCAGTCACAAAATATGAACTCTTTTGTGTAAGACTTCTTTCATTTGGCGTAATGCTTCTGAGATTCTTCCATGCTGTTGCATGTATCAGTAGTTTTTTGTTTTGTTTTTGTTTTTTTTAGAGACAAGGTCTCCTTCTGTCACCCAGGCCAGAGGACACTGGGGCAATCATAGCTCACTGCAGCCTCTAACTACTGGGCTAAAGCTATCCTCCTGCCTCCCAAGTAGCTAGGACTACAGGCCTGTGCCACCATGCCTGGCTAATTTTTAATTTTTTACAGGGTCTTGCTTGGTTGCCCAGGCTGGCCTTGAACTCCTGGCTTCAGGATTGTTTCCAGTTTGGGGTTATTACAAATAAAGCTGCTATGAACAGTTGCATGTAAGTCTTTGTATGGACATATGTTTCATTTTATTGATATATATCAAGGAGTGGAATGACTGGATCATGTGGTGGATAGATGTTTAATTTTCTTTTTTTCTAATTTAATTTTTTCTGAGATAAAATTAGAAAGCAATCCTCCTTCCTTGGCCTTCCAAAGTGCTGAGATTATAGGTGTGAACGAACCACCGCACCTGTGTAGTTTTTTAAAAAATTTTTTTTAGTATCTGTTATTTTCCTGTATTTCATAGAATATAACACAGTTTGTTTTTACATTTTGTTACTGTTAGATGCCTAGGCTACTTTTTTAGTGTTAGGCTGTTACCAATAAAGCTGCTGTATACATTCTTATACAAATCTTTTTGTGGACATGTTTTCTTTTTTTCTAAGCATTTTAAATCACCTTTATTGAGGTGTAATTGACTTATGATAAATTTTATGCGCTGAGAATGTGTAATATGATGAGTTTTGACACAGGTATGCACCCATGAAACCATCATCATAATCCAGATTATGAACATATTCATCACCCCCAAAGTTTACCTTTTTTTTTGTTAACCCCAGTCATTGGGTAACTGCTGATCTCCTTCCTGTTGTTATAGACTAGTTTGCATTTTCTAAAATCATATATACACAGAGTCAATTATATATTATATGCCCTTTTTTGTCTGGTTTAACTAATGCACTATAATTATTTCAAGATTCATCCATGTTATTACATTGATTAATAGTTCATTCTTCTTATTGTTAGGTGGATTACATTTTATGGATATGCCACAAATTGTTTATCCATTCACCTGACAGACATTTGGATCGTTTCTAGTTTGGGGTTATTACAAATAAAGCTTTATGCACATTTGTATATAAGTCTTTGTATGGACATATATTTTCATTTTATTGATCATATATGAAGGAGCAGAATGACTGGAACAGGTGATGGATATATTCTTTTTCTTTATTTTTTTTGAGATAGAGTCTTGCTAGTGCAACGGCATGATCTCAGCTCACTGCAACCTCCATCTCCCCAGTTCAAGCGATTCTCCTGCCCCAGCCTCTCGAGTAGCCAGGATTACAGGCGCCTGCCACCATGCCCACCTAATTTTTGTATTTTTTTAGTAGAGATGAGATTTTGCTATGTTGGCCAGGCTGGTCTCGAACTCCTGACCTCATGATCCACCCGCCTTGGACTCCCAAAGTGCTGGGATTACAGGTGTGAGCCACCACACCCTGCCAACTTCCTTTTTTCTAATTGAGATAAAGTTCACAGAACCTAACTTTTACCATTTTAATCGTTACTAAAGTCCAGTGGCTTTTGGTATAGTAATAATGTATAACCATCATCATTAACTCCAGAACATTTTCATAACTCCCAAAAGAATTTCCATACCCATTAAGTAGTCATTCCCTATTATCCCTTTTCTTTCCTTTCCTTTCCTTTCCTTTCCTCTTTCCTTTCCTTTCCTTTCCTTTCCTTTTCCTTTTCCTTTTCCTTTTCTTTCCTCCCCTCCCCTC